CTCCTACGTGTGGCAGAGGCCAAGCACTTGGTCAGTCTTCTTCTGCTTTCCCCAGGTGCATTAGCAGGGAGCTGGATCAGAAGCAGAGCTACAAGGACTTGAAGCTGTGTTTATGTGGCTTGCCGGTGCCACAGGCAGTGGTTTAACCTATTTTGCCACAACACTGGACCCTTTCCTGGCTATTCTTATTTGTTCTTGCAAATGGACTTTTCAGTGTATTTTTATAGCTCCAGAAAAAGAGGAATGATATTTTATTAGGAGCATCTTAATGTATAAATTAATAGAGAATATGACATCCAAACATTTGATGTTGAATCTTCATGTCTGAGAACATGCGGTTTGTTGAATTTTACATTATAACTTTCCAAAGGGTTTATTATATCCCTATATTAGCTTGCTGTGGTTGCTGCAACAGATTACCACAAACCTGGTAAAAATATAAATTTATTCTCATATTTCTGGAGGCCAGAAGTCTGAAATCAGTTTTACCGAGTCACAATGAAAATGGCGCAGGGCCATTCTCCCTCTGGAAGTCCTGTGGAAGAATGTGTGCCTGTCTTTCTCAGTTGCTGGTGGCTGCTAGCATTCTTTGATTTATGGCCATGTCACTCTTATCTCTGCCTCTCCCTACAAATTATATCCTCCTTGCCTCTGTGTTTCGAGTCTCTGTGTCTCTTTTATAGGAATATTTATAATTAGATTTAGAACCTACACACATAATCCATGATATAGCTCCATGTCAGGATCCTAAGTTAATCATGTCTTCAATAAAGAAACATACACAGGTTCTAGGGATTAGGCCCTAATACACTTGATGTTCATTATTTAGCATACTATAATTCCTCTCATGATTTTTGACTTGTCTTAATCATGATTAGGTATTTTTGTTATTGTTCTTGTAATCTGAAAAGCATCTTCTTTCTCATTGTATCTCTTTTTTTAAAAGATTTATTTATTTGAAAGAGTTACACAGAGAGAGAAGGAGAGGCAGAGAGAGAGAGAGAGAGGTCTTCTATTCGCTGGTTCACTCCCCAGTTGGCCACAATGGCTGGAACTGTGCCGATCCGAAGCCAGGAGCCAGGAGCTTCTTCTGGGTCTCCCATGTGGGTTCAGGAGCCCAAGGACTTGGGCCATCTTCTACTGCTTCCCCAGGCCACAGCAGAGAGCTGGATGGGAAGTGGAGCAGCCAGGACTCGAACCGGCGCCCATATGGGATGCCGGCACTGCAGGCGGCGGCTTTACCCCCTGCACCACAGTGCCGGCCCCCATTGTACTTTCTAACTGGTTAATATTTATATATTGAATTTTATAACTTGTTGCCTTACAAAATTCTCTTAATTGTAGTAGTTCTTCAACTGATTCTTTTCTATGGATGGATTTATAATTATATCATCTGCATATAGAGAAGTGAAGTAGTTATCTCAGGCCATGCTGCCAGAAAGTAAAAGAGCCAGGACCACAATCACAGATTTTATTTTCAATTCACTAGGCTACATATTTGCTTTAAAGAATATTTCACTTTATGGAAACTATAGGCTCAGGGCAATGCATTTTATAAATGGGTATATGTATTTTATTTGTATGTTATTTGCCTTTTAAAAATGTGACTTTTGTTTATGAGGGGATTCAAAATGTTCATTGAAAACTCATAATACCTTTCTACTTTTTAAGATTTTTTACTTGTTTGAAAAGCAGAACAGTGAGAAGAAGAGGGAGAGAATGAATGAGAGAGAGATATATAGGGAGGGAGGGAGAGAGAGATTTTCTGTCTGCTGGTGCACTCCACAAACAGCCACATCTGAGCTAGGCCAAAGCCAGGAACTCCATCCTGATCTCCCACGTGGGTGACCGTAACCAAATACTTGGCCCATCTTCTCTCTTACCATGCATATTAGTAGCAGCGGGATTGGGGGTGGAGTAGCCAGGACTCAAATTGGCACTGCAATGTGGGTTGCCAACATTGCAAGTGGCAACTTAACCCGCTGCATCACAGTGCCAGCCCCATTTTCCCACAAACTTTTTGCGCATGCATACCCTGTGTTTTGGAAGTAAAACATTGTAGATGAGTCTGAAGTTGCCTTTAAACTCAGTCCCATTTCCCCTCCTCAGAGGCAACTACCCCTCTGAATTTGGTGTATTATCCTTCCAGTCCATTTTAAAGTACATTATGTGAGTGATTTTTAAAAAGATTTATTTTACTTATTTGAAAGGTAGAGTTCCACAGAGAGGGAAATATATATAGAGAGATCTTGCATCTGCTGGTCTACTCCTCAAATAGCCACAATGACAGGGGCTGGGCCAACCTGAAGCCAGGAGTCAGGAGCTTCATTTGGGTCTCCTACATGGGTGCAGGAGCCCAAGCACTTGGGCCACTCTCTGCTTCTTTCCCAGGTGCATTAACAGGGAGCTGGATTGAAAATGAATCAACCATGGCTGGAACTGGCACCTGTATGGATTGCTGGCATTGCAGGCAGCAGCCTAACCAGTTATGCCACAATGCCTAGCCCATGAGCGATTTAAAAAAAAATTACAAGTACAGTATCAAAATCCACAAGAACAAAGGTACTTCAACAAATTCGTGGTAAATGGACTTAAAAGTTTATTTAGGAGCAAAGAATTTTGAAATCTGCTATTTTTACAGGTCTTCAAAAAGTTCATGAAATGTATATTATGAAAATGCTATGTTTGTAATTTTTTTGCACCAAAATACTATTTTAATTCTTTTACACTGACTGTTTGCAGTGCCCTTGTGTATATATCTTCCTTTGTCACCCAGTATCGTTGTGTGCATCTTGGAGAAGGCAAAGCTTTTCTAAACATGAAATGCAGAATCTACTATTAGAACCAAATCTCCAGGTGGATCTGGTATCTTTCCATTATCACCTTGCCTCACTAAACGGTTCTCATTATGAAATTCTTATTAATTTGGAAATATTCTAATTTTTATTAAATTTCATCTGGTCTTTTGAAGTTAGAATAATTAATGAAAAGAGAAGAAAAATGTAAATACCAGTGTAAGGCAATTTTTGAGTATTGTGTACTTACTAAAAAGCCAAATAAAAGTACCTCCTGATTGGAAAGTTTTTTCATTTAGCCTACAGAAGGATCATTCAGGTGGGAGTTACACCTTGCAGCAGGGTAAAAAATGACTTGCTTACTTGAATTAAATAAATTTGGACATATGATAATGACAAAATCAGTTGAAAAATACATGTGATACAAAACACCAGCACTTAAAATTAAAACATTCCTGATTCCAGAGTAGGGGAATTAAACAGAATTCCAGAACATTTTATTCAATAATCTCTTCTGTTCTCCAAATTGGAAAGAAGAGTCTTCACTATTCAGAAAACCCCAATAAAAATAGAACTTGCATTTTATTGTTGAGTGAAATGTTGATGATTTAGACCAGGAATTGGAAAACTTTTCTGTAAAGGGCCAGATAGTATTTTCAGCTTTGCAGGCCATGTGGTCTTTTGCCCTACTGTTGTAGCAAAAACACCCATAAATGATACAAATGAGTAAAAGTGGCTGGATTCTGATAAAAACTCATTTATGAAAACAGTTAAGATGGGGAGTAGCAGCTGGGCATTTGGCCCAGAGATTAAGATGTCAGCTAAGTTGCCTGCATCCTGTATCAACGCTTGGTTCAGTACTGCTGTCTCCGCTCTGGCTCCAGCTTCTTGCCTAATGTGCACCTGGGGAAGCAGCGGGTGATGATGTTAGCACTTGGGGTCCTTGCCACTCATATAAGAGGTCTGGATTGAATTCCTGGCTCCCCAGCTTTGAACTAAACTGGCCCAACTTCAACCATTTGGTTAGTGAACCACCAGGTAGGCTCTTTCTTTGCTCTGTCCTCCCTCCCTCTCTCTCAAGGAAGTAAAAAAAAATATTTTTTAGGTGGGATGGATGTAACCTGTAGACTATAGTTAAATCTTTCTTGAGATGAAGACAAGCAGCATACCGGTAAATGTTTGATAACTGGCTTTTGTGGGGAGAGAGGTGAGCCCTCATTTGTAGCATTTGTTATGTGTGGAATCAGTAGTTCATTTCAGGCTACCAATTTGACATTGCTGAACAGGGAGATAGAAAGGGATCCGTAGTGTACACCACTGCATTTTTATCACATACATAGGGTAAAAAACCTCCAGAGTTTAAATAGTAAGGTGAAATAGAACAATTAGGGAGTGGTGAGTTTTGACTATCTATTACTTTTGTTTTTAATATAATTGATTTAATTGCAGACTCAGATAACTTGATTTTAATGATTTATGATTTTTTAAAAAGTTTATTTTTTAAAATGTATTTGGAAGGCAGAATTACAGAGAGGAGGAGAGACAGAGAGAGATCTTCCATCTGCTGGTTCATTCCCCAAATGGCTTCAATGGCCACGGCTGGGCCAGGCAGAAGCCAAGAGCCAGGAGCTTCTTCAAGAAAATTGTGTTAATATGCAACTTTTGCACCAATCTTATTCATCTCTTTTAATAAGAACCCTGAAAGTTGTTCATTTAAGGCCGGTGCCGCCGCTCACTAGGCTAATCCTCCACCTGCGGCACCAGTACTCCAGGTTCTAATCCCAGTTGGGGCGCCGGTTGTGTCCTGGTTGCTCCTCTTCCAGTCCAGCTCTCTGCTGTGGCCTGCCAAGACAGTGGAGGATGGCCCAAGTGCTTGGGCCCTGCACCCCATGGGAGATCAGGAGGAAGCACCTGGCTCCTGGCTTCAGATCGGCGCAATGTGCCAGCCGTAGTGGCCATTTTGGGGGGTGAAACAATGGAGGGAAGACCTTTTTCTCTGTATCTCTCTCTCATTAACTCTGCCTGTCAAAAATAAAATTGTTCATTTAAGTGTGAATTAGCTCTGTGTCAAATTTACTTTGCTTCTTAGTTAATCTCAACTAATAAGTGATAGCATGCATAATAAATTTAGGTCCACAGAGTCTGTCAATGTATCATAGAATAATAAATGTTACTTATTGTTTATTTGATTTTCTTCCCCTTAAGGTATAACTGTGACGCCTGACGAAGAACAAAACTTGAATCATTATGTACAGGTTTTAGAGAACCTACTACTAAGTGTTCCCACCAGGGATCAAGGCCGTGAGAAAAAATCAAAGTCTCCAAGAAATGATTATTCTACAGGATCGAGGGCATCAAAGGAGGTAACCACATCTGCTCCACCTGCAGAATCTTCAACTGAGAATGATGTTTTAATCAATCCTGTCAGTGAAGAAACGACATCTTCTCCTCCTAGAGGCTTCACACTGGAAATACCAAAGAAAAAACGGACACAGAGTACAGCCTTCTGGTCGATCAAACCAAACAATGTTTCTGTTGTTTTACATGCGGAAGAACCTTACATTGAAAAAGAAGAGCCCGAGCCGGAGCCCGAGCCCGAGCCCGTTACGAAAACAACTGTGGCAACCACGTCAACAACAGAAGTATTTACAAGCCTGCCTGGCACCACTTTAACCAGAAGCACTGAGATGGCAATGTCCACAGAGTCGGAAGATGTTCCTCAGCTCTCAGGTGAATATGACATAGAAAAGCTCGAAGAACCAACCAGTGAACGACACTCGACCTTGGATTATGATGAAATCTTGAGAAAAATCTCGGATATGAAACTCCAGGTGCGGCGGGCACCTTTCTTTGACAACAGCAACCCAGAATACAGAGAGGACATCATAGCCTCCAAAGAGCACCTGAAGCGCAGCCTCGCGCTTGCCGAAGCAGCCGAGCACAAGCTGCAGAAAATGTACCAGTCCCGCCTGATCTCAGTGGGACAGGCCAGCAGTGAAGCCAGTGACGTGGAAACTGTTATTAACATGCTGTATAACTCCAGGTATAAGTTATCTGAATATTTCGATATCAAATATATTCCACCAGAGATGAGAGAAAAAGCTACTACAGTATTCAATACATTGAAAAAAATATTATGTGCAGGTCAACTGGAAACTCAAAACCTTATTAGAAAGTTATTAAGCAATAATATAAAAATTTTAAACCTACTTGATATTCCATGACAAAATTGACTTGGGCAAACTTCATTCATTCACAGGAGAAATAAGCATATTAGTGATTTCAACAATGATACAAAAATATTTTCTATTGTAGCTCAGTATGTTTAACATCTTTATATGTAATGTATTATGAACATTTTTTATGCAGTAAAAATTCAGTAATTTAAAATAAACTTTTGGTTCAGGAGTCTATAGTTTTTGCTTATTAATTTTAAAACTTGTGAAGATATACTCCTTAAAATGGTCAAGCTTTTATTTTACTTGAATAGACTAACTAAATTCACATTTTATAACTTAAGAGACTGTGTACCATATGCATATATATGGATAAGTGTATATATACAACTGTATACAGACATATGACATACATATGACCAACTTAAAAGAATTGCATATAAATGTAAAGTTTGGGGGATATATAGCTTTTATTACTCTTTGGATAATCTGTTTTAAGTCAGAAAACCATATTTGGGGCTTGGGTTAAAGCTACTTTTCTTTGGATACATGTGCACCTTTGAACAGTATGTGATTATATTAAGATACATCCTTGTTCTTTTGTTAAGCACTTTTGAAAGTAGCAATGAGCGACTGTAACCCGGATTTTTAATGAAGTCATTATTATTTCCTCATTTTTGTGTGTGTGTACATATACATGGAAACTTTGCAAATCCTTTGTCATGGAGTATGATTGACGCCATTAGGTTAACTGTGTAAATAGTACAGCTGTGGTGCAGGCAATTCTGTTTCATAATTTGATTAAGTATTGTATTCAAATTCATTCATTCATTCATTCATTAAGCCAGTCATGTATTGACCTTCTGCTAGGACAAAATGCTGGACTTTGGGGATATAATAATATGACTTAATACCTTCTCTCTGAGATTACATTATAGCAGAAAAGACAGACATTAAACAATTCCAGCAATTTAAAAATTTCAATTGTGACAAGTTGTTAGGAAGATGTGAGATGTTTGACATCATCTAGACCAAGAATAATGGAAAAGCTATCCTGAGAAAGTGGGAATTGAGGCCTGAAAGATGCGGGTGTGTACAAGGGCAAAGGGTGTTCCAGCAGAGGGAACTGCATGCGTGAATGCTCTGAGTTAATGAGAATGGCAGAGTCAGGAAGAGCCCAGAGTCTAAAAGGAAGGAGAGGGGTCAGTGTTGTGGTACAGCACTGCTGGGAGAGCATGGGAAAATTGGTCAAGGTCTTGGGCCTCTGTGCCCCCATGGAAGACCCGAATGGAGTTCCAGCCTTCTGGCTTCAGCCTGGCCCAGCCCCAGTTGTGACCATTAGGGGAGGGAACCAGCAGATCAAAGATGGTAGATTCATCTCACTCTCTCCCTCTCTCCCTCTCTCCCTCTCTCCTTCTCTCCCTCTCTCCCTCTCTCCTTCTCTCCCTCTCTCCCTCTCTCCCTCTCTCCCTCTCTCCCTCTCTCCCCTTCTCCTTCTCTCCCCCTCTCCTTCTCTCCCCTTCTCCCTCTCTCCATCTCTCCCCTCTCCTCTCTCCCTCTCCCTCCCTTCCTCTACCGTCCCCCCATCTCCCCTCTTTCCCTACCTCCCTCCCTCATTTCCTCTCTCTGTAATTCTGCTTTTCAAATAAATAAATGCATGTTTTAATAAATGAAAAAGCAAGGTAAGGAGAGCATTCTAAGTTGGGAATGGTGATTGTACACAGGGTGAAAGTAGATCCTACAGGCTCTGTTGACTATGTAAGTGGATTTTAAGCAAAGGATTGATCTTAAAAAAAATTTAAAGCAATGTTCTGGGTATAGTTTTAGAAGGAGGTCAAAGAAGTGAACCATGCATAGACACATTTAGTTTGGAGCAGATAGAAGTGGAAATTAGGTAAATCAACAGAATTTGGTGGTTAATGCATATGGAGACCAAGGGAGTGGCGGGGATCAAAAATAGTTGCCGATCACAGGGGCGTCTTACAGCGGAGTTCCTGGATTCAATTCCCAGCTCTAGCTTCTGAGGCTAGCCTCCTGCAAATGCCTGCTGGCTTGAGGGACTGGATTCCAGCCACCCAAGTGGAAGACCTGTTCCCTGCTTCTGCTAGGCCTTGGCTAACCCTAGCTGTTGCAGGAATTTGGAGGCCATGCCAGCACATGAGAACTCTGTCTCTGTCTTTCGCTATCTATCTTTTCTTCTGTCTCTACTTCTCAAATAAATAAAGTTTTTTAAGTATTGCAGAAATTTTGTTTTGTAAAAACTATGCTGTTAACTAAAGCAACAGTTTTACCATGGAAAAATTCAAACAAATGCAAAATAAACAGTGTAATGAATTCATGATCCATCATGTAGTTGCAGCCATTATCTACTAATAGCCAGTCTTCTTCCATGTATACCCTGTCACTTCCCCTTCCTATGTTATGTAGAACTACATCCCAGATACTTTATCATTTCACCTGTAAACAACGTAAAGCTATAAGCTTTTAAAACAACCTGACCACACTATCACAGAAATTTAGTGATTCTTTTTTTTTAGATTGATTGATTTATTTGAAAGGCAGAACTACAGAGAGGCAGAGAGAGAGAGAGAGAGAGGTCTTGCATCCACTGGTTCAGTCCTCAAATGACCACAATGGCTAGAGCTGAGCTAATCCAAAGCCAGGAGCCAGGAGCTTCTTCTGGGTCTCCCACATGGGTGCAGGGGTGCAAGGACTTGAGCCATCTTCTACTGCTTTTCCAGGCCGTAGCAAAGAGCTGGACCAGAACTGGAGCAGCAGGAACTCAAACCAGTGCTTGTATGGGATGCTGGCACTGCAGGCAGCGGCTTTACACCGGCCCCATACTTTTTAATTTAAAAACTTGGTTTTCCTGAGTCCCAGGTTCAGCTTTATTACTTAATAATAAGTCCAGCCTCTTTCTTTTTTAAAAAAATTTATTTATTTGAAAGGCAGATACAGAGAGGGGGAGAGAGAACTACATGCTTCCATCTGCTGCTTCACACACTAATGGCCTTAACAACCTGGGGCTGGACCAGGCCAAAGCCAGGAGCTGGGAACTTCTTCTGGGCCTCCCACGTGGGTGCAAGGGCCCAACCACTTGGGCCATCTTCTGCTGCTTTCTCAGGCATATTGGCAGGTAGCTGGGTTGGAAGTGGAGCAGCTGAGACTCAAACCAGCACCCATATGGGATGCTAGCACTGCAGGCAGAGGATTAACCTATGCCACAGAGCTGGCCCCAACTGTAACCTCTTGAACACTGAAATTAGTTATTCAAAAGTTCAATTAAAACAATTTATGGGGTTGGCACTGTGGCGCAGCAGGTTAACGCCCTGGCCAGAAGCACTGGCATCCCATATGGATGCCAGTTCAAGACCCAGCTGCTCCACTTCTCATCCAGCTCTCTGCTATGGCCTGGGAAAGCAGTAGAAGATGGCCCAAGTCCTTGGACCCCTGCGCCCATGTGGGAGATCTGGAAGAAGCTCTTGGCTCCTGGCTTCAGATCAGCCCAGCTCCTACCGTTGTGGCCAATTGGGGAGTGTGAACAGTCGGATGGAAGACCTCCCTCTCACCCTCTCCTCCTCCCCTCCCCCTCTCTCACTCTCTGCCTGTCCTCCTTCTATGTAACTCTTTCAAATAAATACAAAAAAGCATAATTTATGGGTATTTAATACATTTCTGAAAAAAATTTCAAATTTAGAATTTAAAGTGTGCATAATATAATCAAATAACAGAGCTTCAAATTTCAAATCCCATCAGGTACATACTCAGCAACATCAGTCTTTTGAAGATCTTCAAAATCTTGTTAAATGATTCTTTAATATCATAAAATAATAAACTCCCAAATTGGTATTTTTTAAAATTTAGAATGTATGAATCAAGATCAAATCAAGTGTCCACATTGATATTGGTTGATGTATTATTTAGCTTTTCATTACTACAACTAAAACACCTACAAGGAGCTTCTTAGGAAGAACAAAGGTTTATTTTGTTTCACCGTTTGGAGAGTTACAGTCCAAGGCAGGGCAACCCCAGTGGCTCAGGCATCTGCTGGGCAGAGAGGTGGCAGAGGGGTGATCACATGATGAGGTAGGAAGATGGGGGAGAAGCCCATTCTTCATCTGCCCTCTCGTGATCTCTTCTGCAACCATCATGAGTCCCTGAAGGAGCTCCCACCCAGCGATGCAATGCAATCCCATCGCTTTCCAAGGTCCCACCTTTAGGCATCATCACTGGATTAAATGCCATGCCTGACCCATCAACCATTACTCCATTAATCACTACCATAAAACTTCAAGGTTTGAAGTCTGCATGAGTTTGGGGCTCCAATTCCAGTTCAAACCGTGACTGTTGATTTGACAGATCAGTCATTTTTTTTAACTTTTATTTAATAAATATAAATTTCCAAAGTACAGCTTTTGGATTACAGTGGCCTTCCTCCCCCATAACTTCCCTCCCATCCGCATTCACATCAAGATTCATTTTCAGTTATCTTTATATTCAGAAGATTAATATATATTAAGTAAAGATTTCAACAGTTTGCATCCACACAGAAACAAAAAGTATAAAGTACTTTTTGAGTACTAGTTATATTGTTAATTTGCATAGTACAACACATTAAGGACAGAGATCCTACGTGGGGAGTAAGTGCACAGTGACTCCTGTTGTTGATTTAACAGTTGACACTCTTGTTTATGGCGTCAGTAATCACCCGAGGCTCTTGTCATGAGTTGCCAAGGCTATGGAAGCCTTTTGAGTTCGCCAACTCCGATCTTATTTAGACAAGGCCATAGTCAAAGTGGAAGTTCTCTCCTCCCTTCAGAGAAAGGTACCTCCCTCTTTGATGGCCCATTCTTTCCACTGATATCTCACTTGCAGAGATCCTTCATTTAGGTTTTTTTTGTTTTTGTTTTTGTTTTTGTTTTTGTTTTTGTTTTGCCAGAGTGTCTTAGCTTTCCATGCCTGAAATAGTCTCGTGGGCTTTTTAGCCAGATCTGAATGCCTTAAGGGCTGATTCTGAGGCAAGAGTGCTGTTTAAGACATTTGCCATTTTATGGGTCTGCTGTGTATCCCGCTTCCCATGTTGGATCGTTCTCTCCTTTTTAATTCTATCAATTAGTATTAGCAGACACTAGTCTTGTTTATGTGATCCCTTTGACTGTTAATTCTATCATTATGATCAATAATGAACTGAAACTGAATCAGTCATTTTTAATCTGAAGATTCAACCTCTCTTTGCCCCTTGAAATTTCTCATCAAAGAGGTCATTTGTGCTACAGTTCCCTGCAGTGGATTTTGCTGATTGCATCTTCATTGGTGCCATTAGTGTGTTCTCCTGTCCTCCCTTTTCTGTACATCAGTAACTGGATCTAGAGAGGTGTCATCAGACTGAGGCTTGCCATCTCTTCTCTCTCGGCAAGGCTGTGTTTTATTCTTCCATCTGGTTATGTCTCTAGTTTTAGAAGAATTTGATGATCATTATTAGCTAGGTAGATTTATCAGGTGAGGCAAAATGGAGATAGCATATGTCTATAAAGAGAAATATTATATCCATTATTTGATTCCTTTCTTTTTAAAAATATTCAGTTTGTAGACTCCTCCAGTGATGACCTTCTTATTTTTTGACATTACTGATCTTAATTTTTAAAGCAGTCTTAGGCTTATAGACAAGTTCACAGGACCTACAGAGTTCCCTTTGACCTCCCTCCCCTCCCAGTAGTTTCCCTATTATTTACATCTTGTGTTAGTGTGGTACAGT